GGCACGGCGGCGGCGGCGGCGCGGGAAAACCGGGAGGCAGCTGGGAGCGGAGGCAGGCGGGTGGCGGCGGCAGCGGCAGCTGGGAGCGGCGCCACCCAGGTCCCAACCCACTCGACCCGCAAGACCCCAGCCCAGACGCTTACTGCAATCTTGTCATCCTGGCTGTGGCCAACAGGGTAAGCCTGAGGGCGCCCTGCACCCTGCCTCTCGGGCGCATCCGGGGAGGCGCCGCCGCCCCATTCACGAGGTTCCTGGGGTGTGCCCCAGCCTCTTTTCTTCTCCCTCCTTCGGTACCACTCTGCACTTCGGCCACTATCTTTGGGCCCATGACGCCAGACAGCTTCTAAACTCCAGTCCTGGACACCTCCCCCTGGCTGTCCCACTGCACCAAAACTCAAAATGGTCGAAACAGACAATCTAATTCCCTCCTCCAGCCCTACTCCTTCGCCAACGTCGTCAATGTTGGAACCTCCACAGTAACAATCATAATGACACGAATCACCACCATGAATCAAGTGCCAACCCATGCCAGACATGGAACCAGCACTGACTCATTTAATTCTCCCAGCAATCTGTAGAGGCTGATATTACAACACAAGTATACCCACTCTATAGAGAAGGAAACTGAGACCCAAAGGTTAAGTAACTTATGCAAAGTCGCCCAGGAAGTTCCTCTTGGTAACTCTGGCAGTCACCCAAGGCAGAAGCCTTACTGCCATTCTTGCCTTCTTTACCTCCTTCACCATCCACAGTCATCCTTTCTTTTACTCATTTGACATTATTTGCGGAGTGCCAGCTATGTGCTAGGCATTGGGCTAGGTGCCGTGGATACAGAGGTGCACAAGACATATTTGGCAGTCTCCCTTAGGGAGCTCATGGTCAAGGAGACATACCTTCAAGCCCTCAGCCTTCTAAGCTTTTCCTCTGACCCAGGGCCACTGCCTTTCTCTGTGTTGAACCAAACAGACATGGTGCCTGTCTTAGTTATCTAGTGCTGCTATAGCAGAAATACCACAAATGAGTGGCTTTAACGAACCGAATTTTATTTTCTCATAGTTTAGGAGGCTGGAAGTCCAAATTCAGGGCGCAGGCTCTAAGGGACGGTCCTTGTCTCTTTTCAGCTTCTGCTCCTCAGTTCCTTGGTGATCTTCATGTGGCCTGGCATCTATCTTCCCCCATCTCTCCTAGCTTCTCTGCACCTAATCTGCTCGTTTTGTATCTCAAAGGCTTAAAACACACCCTGCACTGATATGGCTCCCACTACAAGTATAGGGGTTAAGGGTTACAACACACATTTCTGAGGGACTCAGTTGAATCCATACTGTGCCCGTCTAGAGGGAGAGATGGATAATAACCAAGTCAATGTGTACATCAGGAGCCCCGGTGGTGCAGTGTGGTTAAACACTCAGCTGCTAACCGAAAGGGCAGCCGTTCTAACCCACCAGCTGCTCCAAAGGAGAAAGATGTGGCAGTCTGCTTTCGTAAAGATTTACAGCCTTGGAAACACTATGAGGCAGTTCTCCTCAGTCCTATAGGGTCGTTGTGAGTTGGAATGAACTCAAAGGCAATGGGTTACATGTGTACATCATAGCTAGCTGACTCCTTGAAACACTTTCTTGCTCAGCTTCCAGCTCTCCGCCTTCTCCTGGTTTTCTTCCTACCTCTCTGGCTGTACCTTCTCAGGAGCTGGTTCCTCCTCTTTTCTCCAGCGTCTTAAGGTTGGAGTGCCCCAGCTTAGTCCTTACTCTTCTTCTCTCCTTAATCTACACTCCTTTCTAGGTGATCTCATCTTATGACTTTAAAAACAGTGAGAACTTCAAAAATTTTGTCTCTTGCCATATCTTCACTCAGCATCTCCAAAGGTCTAATGACCATCTCAAACCTAACAGGTCCAAAGCTGAGCTCCCGATGTCCTCTACCAAACCTGCTCCTCCCTCAATCTCCTCGTCTCAGTTCATGGCAGCTCTGGCCTTCCATTGCTAAGACCAGAACCTTGGCATCATCATCCTTGGCTCCTTTCTCTTTCTCACACCCTATATCCACTCTGTCAACAAATCTTGTTGGCTCTGGTTTTAAAATATAACCCAAACCCATCCACTTCTCCCCACCAATCCTCCACTGTCCCTACCCAGGTCCTACCCCCTCTCGTCTTACCTGGGTCATGCAGTCACCTCCTCACTGGCTCGGCCCTGGCTTGCAGTTCGCTCCCCCCCACCCCAGTCTGAGCAATCCTGTTACACATGCTACGTTGTTTCACTGCTCACAATCTTCCAATCACTCCCATTTCACTCAGAGAAAAATTAACATCCCTATCCTTCCTTACAAGGCCTTACATGCTCCAGCAACCACCTCCGTTTCCTCTCCGACCCCGTCTCTTTCTACTCCCACCTTTATTTACTCCACTCCAGCCACACTGGCCTCCTGGTGGGATGCAAGAGATTTCTGCATTCTGGGTGGTTCATGGCGGTACCGCCAGGACCTAGAACAGTGCCTGGCACATGATAGGTATTCAATAAATATCTGTTGCATGAATGGATGAATTAATGAATATTATATAATTATACCTTGGGATAAGGGTCAAAGAAAACAAGCAGGTGGCAGTGATAGAGAATAAGACAGGAGATCATTATTGGTAGGGAAAGTGAGGTTGTGATGTTTAAGCTGAAATGTGCAGACAGGAAGGAGTCAGCAGCGTGAAGAGTCAGGAAAGCGAGTTCCAGATAGAGGGAACACTGTCCTCTGTTTATCCCCCTGGACTGTGATGGCTTAGGGCACAGACTTTAACCAGTTCACCTCTGAGACCCCAGGCTCCAGTACCTGGCACACAATAGGACTACATAAGAGTTTGTGGAATAAATGAAGAGCTGCTTTCTGGGAGTGTCTGAGCCTCTGGCCTCTTATCTGAGGCCTTGTGGTCCCAAGGAGGGTACAGGAGTTAGAATCAAAAAGCCTGGGTGCCAATATCAGCTAATGCCTTGATCCTACTGTGTGAGCCTGGGCAAGTCACTTAACCACTCTAAGCCTTGGTTTCCTTAAGTATGAAATAGGGATCCTCCCTGCCCTGTCCATTTTATAGGGTTATTATAAGAATCAATCCTGTTCTAATCACTAGTAAACCCTTAACATCCCAAAATGCCTTTATTGAATTACATTTTAATTTACACCCTGGATTTTTTTTAGAGACTCAAAATAGGAAATGGCTTCATGAAGATGCTGTCTTCACCAATTATTGCCTTTATGTGTCTCTTGCTTAAAGACTTAAGAGGTAAAAACCAAACACACTGCCATTGAGTCGAGTCCAACTCATAGCGACCCCGTAGGGTTTCCAAGGCTGTAAACCTCTATGGAAGCAGACTGCCACATCTTTCTCCCGCAGAGCTGCTGGTGGTTTCGAACCACTGCCCTTTTGATTAGCAGTCAATCACTTTAACCACTGTACCACCAGGGCTCCCTCTTAAGAGGTAAAACCAAACAACCCAAACCCATTGCCATCGAGTCCATTGCGAGTAGGAGATAAATTCGTCTCCAAATCTGCAATCACAAACTTTCACCCAAGAACTTAAACTCCTTCCTTCTATAGAGACTGTGCGTTATGTATTCATCTTGCTTCCATTTTTGCTCTGGGTGCCAGGAAACTCATATCTAAATATGACAGCCAGTATCATTAATTACAATAAATCTAAAATTCTGATACATTTAATCCCCCCTCTTACTGGGTCAAGAGACCTGGGTTCTAGTCCTGGCTAATCACTTCTGCTCTCTGGACCTCAACTTCTGTACCTGTAAATTGAATTAAATTTGGGTTTATTTTCGATAAACTTCAGGATGGTCCATGAATCACCCAGAAATTTGGGGTGCATTTTTCAGGGCAGAGGAGCCAGGATTGTCACTGGATTCTATAAAGGGGCCCAAGACTCAGAGAGTGGCCATGTAATTTTGATGACAAATGTCCTTAAAGTTGACTTAAAGGGGTCCATGGGTGTGTGTGCCTCTGTGAGATTCCTCACACTGTGTTTTAGGGAGCAGAGGACTCCCTGGTCATTGGCGAGAGCCTGAGCTCTGTCTCCTCCCTCTCTGGGCCAGGATGCTGCGGAGGAGTCCTGTGCTCTCATCTGTCAGGTGTTCCAGATCATCTATGGAGACCAGAGCATTGAATGCGTGGACCGGGCCGGCTACCACTACATGTCTACACCCGAACGGCCATGGCTCTGCAGCCGCAGTGAGTACCAGAACCCTAGCCTTCCCTCCCGTGAAATGTCCCAGGAGGAGGGAGGAGGGATGCCCCAGAACTGGGGGCTGTTGAAGGTCTTTAGGGGTATTGATCACTACTGGAACCAGTTGCTGTCAAGCTGACTCTGACTCATGGTGACTCCATGTGTGTCAGAGTAGCACTGTGCTCCATAGGGTTTTTAATGGCTGACTTTTTGGAAGCAGGTTGTCAGGCCTTTCTTCTGAGGCACCTCTGGGTAGATTTGAACCTCTAATCTTTCAGTTAGCAGCCAAGCATGTTAACCATTTGTACTGCCCAGGGACTTCACTGCACTGCCTCAATCCTAGCTTCTTCGTGTATGTTCACATTGCCAAATTCAGAATGAGCCCCTCAGAGCTAAACTTTCCTCTTTCCCTTTTGTTTGTGGTGTCCTTGTTTTGCAAAAACCTAAGCACACACACTGCTTACTGAGCCATCAGCCCCACTCTGGTTAAAACCAAGATTTCCAGATGGCCCTCGAGTGCAATCAAGGGCTGGAAAGGAGAATGAGACTAATAGAGGCATTTATTGAGCACCCACTACGTGCCAAGCACACTACCAATGTGTCAAGTCTTAATTTAATCCTCATAGCAACCTCATCTGTCCTGGTTACCACTGTATCCCCTGTGCCTAGCACGGGACCAGGTACATCACAGATGCTGAAGAAGTATTTTTTGAATGGATGAAAGAACTCTCTGAGGCCTTCTGCTTCATTTTACAGATGAGGACATTAAGGTTCGAAGGAGCCAATAAATTTGCCCAAGGTCACACAGCTATTAAGTGGCAGAGCCAGGATTCAAACCCAGGTCTGTCAGATTTTAAAGCTTCGATCTGCCACCTCACCCGTCCTGCTACCTTCAAGGCTGTTCAGTAAATTCCTTCTGCCACAGCACCCCCATGTGGTCTCTGTCTGCATAGCTCCAGCAACAGCACTCGCTCTTTCTTCTGGAGGCGCTCCCCACTCTGTGGAAGCTGTGCTTGTTGGGAAATTGGGACAGTTAATTGACTCTCACTGGGATGACAGGCATATAAGTGAAGTGATTCAAGAAATATGTCAACAAATTCATTCATTCAATAAATATTTACTGAGCACCTACAAAGTATCAGATGCAGTGCTAATCCCCAGGATATAATGGTGAGCAAAATTAGCCAATCCCTATCCTCACACAGCTTGCATCCTCTGAGGTAGGTCGACAATAATTAAATACTCATACAAATAAGTATGTTCTATGAGAACGTAAATGAGGAACTAGCCTTGCGTGGGAAGTCAGGGGAGTGTCCTTGAGAAAGACCTGAAGGGGGAGGCTAAGAACTGGATTAAACGAGAGAACAGGGCCAGGAACTGTGCAAGTTCTCTGCAAATGGTCTTTCTTTCCTCTCAAGATTTTCAGTTCTTTCCCCTTCACAAAGTTCTTTTTTGTCTTGCCTCAAACACACACAGTCTACAAAACACTCCCTCAACTCTTCCCTTGTCTGCTATTCCTCAGACCCCCAGACAGTAGGCAGGAAAGTGGGATTGTCCCAATGTTGGGGAAGTTGAGGAACAGGAGGGGGGGAGAAGAGATGCCCAAGGTCAGCTGTGTGTTGGTGGCAGGGGCAGGACTAGACTCCAGGGTGGGGCTGAGGTTGGGGCCTCAGGGATGCTAGTCTCTGCTTGGTCGCTTCTGACAGCCCTTCTGTCTGCTGGCCCCAGGTGAGAGCTGCCGCACGGACGGGACTTACGCCTATGATGCCGACTTCAGCAGCTGCAGCTCCTGGTGGGTACCATACTTCTCGGGGACCCCACTCTCCAACTCTGCACAGAGTCCTTCTTCAAGGCACTCTTAGGCTTCCTGTGGGTGGAAGTGACTCAGCCTTGGTTTATGTTGAGATTCTGGGCACTTACTGTAGAAGTTAAACTGAGCTCTCCAGGCTCTGGTGAGTTCACAGAACCCAGATCCCCTTCAAGAGGCCCAGGGGACAACCAGACCCAGAAATGGGTCCACTGGGACCTGCCGGTTCTCTCCCAGCCATCCAGACATAGTGGCCTACAGAAACCAAAATCACAGCTAATGCCAGAAAAAAATTTTGATTTACTTTAGGTTTGGCTCCATTTAATAGGAAATCCTGAAAAAGAGCTTAAACAAGATAGAGCTTCCCCCTTCCCCTTTCTCTTACATAAAATAAACCAGGAGATAGTTTCTTCAGAACCTTAAGGTCATCAGGGGCCCAGGATTCTCTTCCCCTGCCCCATCCTCCTCAGCACATGCTTCCATTGTGAAGGTCACCTCACGGACCAAGAGATGGTTATAGCTCCAGCCATCACGGTGGAGTGCCAAGGGCCTCTTTAAAGAGCTTTGCTGGAATTCCCATCGGACAACTTGTCACATGGCCACAACTAGCTGCAAGCAAAGCTAGGAAATATATATCTATATATATATTTAACTTCTGGTTGGGAACATTGTCCAAGATTCTGTTTAGGGTGACCAACCATTTTGGTTTGCCTGGGACCGAGAGGTTTCAGCGCTAAAACTCAGAAACTCTCAAGCAAACCAGGACTAGTTGGTCACCACCCTGGTTCTGTTACGAAGGAATTTGAGCAGGTAAATAGCAGTCTCTGCCAGTGATATCTACCCTATATTTTTTTCCCCATATTAGTGGCAACAGATTTGCCGTCCAATACTGTGTACCTTGCCCAAAAAAACCCCTGTTGCCGCTGAGTCGATTCTGTCTGTCTCTGCAGCAATGGCTCCCAGGACACCTTTGAAGCGTGTTACAGTGGCACGTCCACACCCTCTTTCCATGGCTCCCACTGCAGCAGCAGCGACCACAGTGGCCTTGGCCTCGAGCAGTTGCAGGATTACATGGTCACGGTGAGCTGGGGCAGTTAGTGAAAACAGCACAAGCAAAGGCTCAGAGGCTGGAGAAAACACAGGGCATTTCAGGAACCGTGAATAGTCCTGGGCATAACTGAAGCATACGACCTCAAAAGTCAGGGCAAGAGATGAGATTAGGAGAGTAAACTGAGGCCAGCTTATGGTTCAAGGCCTTAACTAATGGCAGCTAGCATTAATTGAGTGCTTGCTGTATACCAGGCACTGTTCTAAGCACCTTTCATACATCGTCTTTTGTAATCCTTAAAACAACCCCAAGAGGGAGGTTCCATTATTGTCCTCACTTTGCAGATGAGGAAATCGAGGGTCAGGGAGGTTTTGATCTACCCAAGATCACAGAGCTGATCGATGAAGGAGCCAGGATTTGTACTCAGGCAGTTTGTGCCCAAGGGGTTGGATGTCCCCCGGGTAGGCCACAGAAGGATTTTCAGAGGTGGGCTGGGCCTGAAGTGTCCTTACAGAGGGCTCTGGGTCTTTGGGCAGGGGTCAAGTGTGGTTCTCCTGGGATTGACCTTGAATGGTGCACCCACAGTTGAGGAGTAAGCTGGGGCCCCCCGAGATCCAGCAGTTTGCCCTGCTGCTGCGGGAGTACCGGCTGGGGCTGCCCATCCAGGACTACTGTGCTGGCCTGCTGAAGCTCTACGGAGACCGGCGCAAGTTCCTTCTCCTGGGTGAGCTCCTGCCCTCCTGAGGGCTCAGGAAGGCCCTCTCCATCGGCCCTGGGCAGGCACCAGGCTGGGAGCTTTCTCTCCTAGCCATGAGATCCATGGGGCCAATGAGGAGACCAAGGTGCAGCGAGGGGAAGGGACTTGACTGCAGTCATAGAGCTAATAAGAAGAATAATAACAAAGTACTGGTGTAGCCATTTTATCTTCACAACAAAGCTGGGAGACGGAGTGGTTCTTCCCATCTTACCCATGAGGAAACTGAGGCTCAGAGAGGCTTAGATACTTGTCCAAGATCACACAGCTAGTAAGGAGGGCTAATAATAACAGAATAATAACATGCATTTGGAAGTTACCATGTGCCAAGCATCAACTCATTCAATGCTCACAGTTCTGGGAAGTAGTATTATTTGCCCCCATTTTACAGATGAGGAAACGGAAGCTCAGAGAAATGAAGTAAGGTGCCACATAGCTAGTAAGTAGGGATGGAAGTAAAATGGGATGCTCAGGGTGTGCCAAGTACCTTGTTATTTAATTCTCACATCCCTACTGGCAAAACCGGTGCAATAATCTCAATTTTAAAGGTGAAGAAAGTGAGGCTGAGAGCAGTTATTTGACGAAAGTCACACAGCTAATAAATGGAAATATAACAATAACAATAAGAAGCAGCAGCTAACATGTAACATGGGCATTTACGATACCCCCAGCATTATGTCGTTATTCTCTGGCTCAGAGAAGTTAAGGAACTTGCAGCGGGTCACACAGGCAGTGAGTGGCAGAGCGTAGATGTGAACTCAGATCTCCAGAGAGGGTGATCCCTTTGTGGGAGGGGAAGGGGCTGAACGCCGAGGAATCACCTTGCCCCGCGCACCACAGGGATGCGGCCCTTCATCCCGGACCAGGACATCGGCTACTTTGAGGGCTTCCTGGAAGGTGTGGGCATCCGCGAGGGAGGCATCCTCACCGACAGTTTCGGCCGTATCAAGCGCAGCATGAGCTCCACGTCCGCGTCAGCTGTGCGCAGCTACGACAGCGCGGCCCAGCGGCCTAAGGCGCAGGCTTTCCACCGGCTGCTGACTGACATCACGCACGACATCGAGGCGCTGGCCCCCGACGACGACGACGACGACGAGGGCGAAGACGAGGAGCCCCAGGGCGGGGGAGATGCGGCTGAAGACAACTACCTGTAGCGACTGCCCATGCGGAGGGCGTGGAAGGGAGGTTGGCTTCCCGCACTCGGACCCCTGAGCCTCACTCACTCTTGCCGGTGGGGCCCTATTCTCAGGGGGCCCTCCCCATGTCTCCGCGCCCCATTACGATCTCCCCTCCAGCAGGTCTCCTTCCGCGCCCTCGGGGCTCCGGTCCATGCAGTACCGAGAATGTCCTCCGGGGGGCGAGCGAAGCCGGACCCTGAAGTCCTGGTCAGTTGCCCCGGGGCTGGCTCAGCAGGCCTCTCTGCCAGCCCGAGGTTGGACAGGGGTCCTGCTTTGTCCCCGTGACTCTGCAGCTTTCTGGAGTCCGAGGGAGGGGTGACAAGTGATCTCCACCTGATGGCAGACTGAGAAAAGATTTCTCAGACTCCAGAGACCTCTGTTCGTCCTATTTTGCAAATTGAGAAACTGAGGTTCAAAAGAGGGGAAGGATTTGAGGGAGTCTGCTGATTCCCCTTAGATATTCCTCAAACTGACTGTGCTAATAGTATAAGGGCTTTTTAAGACTCTAAATAGCAGGGTCTCCCTCTCTTAGTGGCAGGAGTTAGATCAACAGTGTAGAGCAGAGGTTTTCTTCCACTGAGGGTCAACTTAGAGGTGGGTGATCAGGGCTCCAATTCAGACCCTGAGACAAGTTGCTGCAACCTTTGAGCATGCCGGATGTGAAGCCAGACAGACATAGCGCACCTGTGTGGTTAAGTGTCCTAGCGTCCCAGCCTCTGTGCCTCCCACTTGCTCATCTGTCCAATGAGGTCAGCCCCGCCTACCTCCCAGGGTGGTTGTGGGGATTAGCGAAGGTCAAGACCTTAATATAGGGTCTGTCACATAATAGGTGCTCAATAAATGGTGTTTTCTTCCACATCTGACACTTTCTGACTCAGTTTACCTGTCTTGCCTGTGTTCAATGGGATGGGAACTGAGATGGGGGTGAGATAAAGAAGACCCTCAGGGAGCTCACAGTCTGGGGAGAGGGAGCGGGACATACCCCCTTACAGCTCTATTATAGAGTGGCTCTCTGCTCAATTCCTAAACGAAAAACTCAAGACCCCACAGACAGCGGGGCCTGGAGTAATCAGTCTGAAGGTGGAGTTGGAGAGGTAGAGAAATCAGGAAAAGGACAGCACTCAGCCTGAGTAGAGGCTCAGAGGCTAAAAGAAATGAGGCCTGAGTGGAGGCCAGAGGCTTACATCCAACCCACTGCCAACAAGTCGTCTAGTAAATTCTCACTCATAGTGACCCTGTAGGATAGAGTAGAACTGCCTCATAAGGTTTCCAAGGCTATAATCTTTTCTGGAAGCAGACTGCCGTATCTTTCTCCCACGGATTGGCTTGTGGGTTCAAACCACCAGCCTTTCGGTTAGCAGCGGAGTATTTTAACCACTGCACCACCAGGCGTCACACAGAGGAGATGAAATTTACTTGTAAACCCTTTACAGAGCCTTCCATGGCCAGACACATGGTACTTACCATGACATAGATACTATTGCCACCAATTTAAAGGTAATATTATTATTATTAGGACTTCAGGCCCAGAGAGTTCCATGGTTCATATGTGTTTTGAGGGACATGATCATCCTATCACCATTGCAACACCCTTCTGATGTTTTGTTTGGTTATTAGTTGCCACATCCCCACACCCTTTCCCTTCCTCACTATGGGCACCTGTCTTAGTCATCTAGTGCTGCCATAACAGAAATGCCACAAGCGGATGGTTTTAACAAAGAGAAATTTATTTCCTCATGGTAAAGTAGGCTAAAAGTCCAAATTCAGGGCATCAGCTCCAGGGGAAGGCTTTTTCTCTCTGTCGGTCTTCTTCTCTTCAGTGTTCCCCTGGACTAGGAGCTTCTCGGTGCAGGGACCCCGGTCCAAAGGACGCTCTCTGCTCCCGGCACTGCTTTCTTGATGGTATGAGGTCCTCCTGTCTCACTGCTCACTTCTGTCTTTTATATCTCAAGAGATTGCCTCAGGACACAATCCAGTCTTGTAGATCCAGTCCTGCCTTACTAACACAACTGCCACCCATCCTCCCTCATTAACAGCATAGAGGCAGGATTTACAACGTATAGGAAAATCACACAGTACCAGGAATCATGGCCCAGCCAAACTGAAATACACATTTTTAGGGGGACATAATTCAAACCATGACAGCACCCACCCTTATGCATTGATATAGCCCTAGACGTAAAACACACAGTGCTTTGTGTATGTTTTTACACTAGATAAATGGCATTGTGTAAGAATATCATTCAATTCTTTCCGTTTTCTCACTCCATAATATGTTTTTAAGATCTATCTATGTTGCTGTGGGAACATCTAGTGTGTTGCATCCAACTGCTGCAAAATATTCCAAGCTGAGCATCCGCTATACTTCATCTAATCCCCCAGAGATGGACACCTAGGTTGCTTCCAACTCCTTACCACAAACACACAACACTGTGATGAACATCTTTGTACATGACCTATGTGGAAATTTCTTTGGGCTCTATACCAAGAGTGGAATTACTAGATTACAGAGGATACATGTTTTAAATCTCAGAGTGGCTCCACCAGCAGCATGTGAAGGATCCTGTCTCCCCACATCTTCATCAGCTTTTATGTTATCTGACTTTGTCATTTTTACTGACCAGTTTGGGTGTAAGGCAGCATCTCATCGTTTTTACTTGCATTTCTCTGTTAATCCTGATGCACAATCTCCTCCTATACTCATCAAGCATTTGGGCTTCCCCTCCTGTGAATTGCCTGTTTATATCTTTTGCTCATTTTCTTTTAGGTTTCCTGTCTTTGTCTTGTTGATTTGGAGGAGTAGTTCATAAATTTTAGATATTAATCCCTTGTTGGATGTTGATGTTCCACATACCTTCTCCCAATATGTTGGCCATCTTGTCTGTATCAGTGGTTCTTAAACTCTTGCGTGCATCAGAATCTCACAGAGGGCTTGCTAAAACACAGATTGCTGGACCCTACCCTCAAGAGTTTCTGACTCAGTAGAGCAGGGATGGGACCAATAATCTGCATTGCTAACAAGTGCCCAGGTGATGCCAGTGATCCAGGGACCACCCTTTGAGAACCACTGGTTTATGGTGCCTTCCAATGAACAAATCCTTAATGCTGATTTTGTCAAATTGGGGTCCAAGGAGATGAAGTGAGTGACTACAGTCACACAGTGAGCTGGAATTGGGACCTATTTCTGGCTAGCCCCAGGGCTCATACTACTACCCAACCCACTCTGCTATCCCCTCTGCCAGTCTTTGGAGTGCAGTGTTGGCAGACTTAGTCATTTGGACTTGAGGCTATGGGGAGCCTTAGTAAATTCCTGAACAAGACAGCCATAGAGACAGCAGTTGATTGGCTAGGGGCAGGGCCAAAGACATAGGGCCCTCCTAAAAGCCTGGCAGGCCTTGCAAGAGGACCAAGCTCAGAAGTTGCCCGCAGTCCTCAGTCAGTAACAAGGTTGCTGAGAACTGTTGGGACAGTTCTTACCCCACAGCTCCGGGGATGGGGCAACTTCCTTCACGCCCCAAGGAAGTCTCCACCCACCCCAGAACTACCCTCTTACCAAAGTCATGTAACCCCTTGGCTTCCAAAGGGCCCTGGCTGGAACAGCCCAGACACTGAGCAAAGGAACACTGGCCACACTTCCTCCTGCAGCACCAGAGACCCTGCCAGGGTCACTTCCTATCATGGTTCAGTTCCTGGCATCACAGAGGGGAAAATCCCCTTGGGGTGGGACAGCTGGTTCCTGAGGACCTCTAGGGATGGTGCAAGGATGGAACTTCCCCACCAGCTGGATTCCCTGGGGATAGTGCTGGCCCAAGGATGAGTGGTGAAGTTAGTGAAATTGTCTCCAGCTGCACCCTACACAGAGGCCTCTCCCACTTGGGGCCCTGCAACTTTCTACTCCCTCTCAGTTTCCAGATGGAGACTCCTAGCAGTCCTTCACAACTGTGTGTGGATTGTGGTCTCCAGGTCCACTGTCACTCAGTCACCAAACATTTAGAGAACACCCACTCTGTACCAAGCCTTGTGCGAGACACTAGGAGGAGATACAGCACAGTCCCCGCCCACTGGAGGGCTCACAGTCTGGTGGAGAAGAGAAGCCCCAAATAATCACAGCACAAGGTTCTCAATTGTAAATTCAAAGAGTGAGAAACCAACTCTACCTGGGGAACCTAGAGAAGGCTTTGCCAAGGAGGTGACTTATGAGTGAAAACATGAAGGATGAGCAAGATTTTGGCAGGTGCATAATAGAGATGAGAGCCCTCCAGGCAGGGGCCCAGCATGAGCAAAGGCAGGGGGCTTGAAGGAGGAGGGCAGTCTCCAAGACTGGTGACCATTTAGGACAAGGCAGTGATTAGGTACTCCAGCCCTGAAATTAAACTGGTTTTGAATCCCAACTCTGCCATCTGCTAGTTTGGTGACCTTGGGTGAGCTCCTAATTGTTTCTGGGTCTTGGTTTCTTCAACTATAAAATGGAGATAATAATAGCATCACCTTTGTAGATCTCCTAGATTGTTTTGAGGCTTAAACAAGATGACCCATGCAAAAGTACATATAGTAAGTGCTCAATAAATGTGACCAGTATTCTTGCTAGAGGAACATGGCATATGTGACATGGTGGGGGACAAGGTGGGTGGGCAGGGCTTGTAGGAGAGGAAGCTGGAGAAGTGGGAAGATTGGTGAAAAGATCCCTGAAGCCAGGCTAGGAAGTCTGGACCTTCCCCAGCGGGCAATGGGGAGCGACCTAATGGGTTGCATTTTCTGGAAGTGAGTCTGATAGTTGGGAAAGAGGATCTGTTGGAGAGCATAATTGAGCCAGAAAGCAGGCGGGATGAGACAGGAGGCTTGGACAGTGACCAGGTGAGAGATGCCATGACCTGACTCAGGGCAAGAGTAATGAAGAGGAGGAGATAGGTTCAAGCCGGGGGTGGGGTGGGGTGGGGGGATGAGGACTTAGAGGACCCCAGCTCAGAAATAGCAGC